ATCCTCGCGCTCTGATTGCTCTGTGTTTTTCCTTAATAATTCAAAATCGAAGCTTCAAATCCCATTTTCGTAAAGGGAAATCTTATTCAAAATCACGTCAACAATAATTTCTTTGAATCGCCTATTTTAACGAATTAATAATTCCTACGAGTTCAAGATTTTGAAAAATTCTTTCAAGCATCTTCATAAATAACCTTGACAGCAACTTGTATCCTTGAAAAGCGAAATCAAATATTTAAAGAAATGTCCATACAAGGCTGGTGTTTTCATTATATGAATCCATATTCTAATACTTGCGTCAATTAGCTACTAATAAGCGTCACGAAATCAATGAATAATAAAAGGAAATAGGAAAAGTCAAATGAAAATGTTGAATATATGAGTTTCGAATCGAATCATTGGTTAATTAATATAAATACCGGGTGTACTATACTTAATAGCCAGGCGTCAAATTACAAGCTCCTATATTGCATTATTGGAAAATTAAAAATCTGAAAACGTCATAAATCTTATCTGTCGATAAAATCCAATAAGTGCTGGAGCTTTTAATCGCTTGGGCTACGTATGTACATTTCAGGCATAAAAATTATTATCTCAGATAACGATCTGCGGAGCGTCACATCGGAAGTTCTTCGAATCGATACAGGTGGTCTATTTTTGTAAATAGACAGTGTTCGAAGCTTTATCAAACCCCTTGGGCAAACGGTAGCAGAAAGTGACAACGAATTTCGAACTTTTTCTTCGAGTAAGGAGCTGCGAGCTTATTTCCGTGATGACGCGTTATTACAGCTTTCTGGAACTTGTGATACTCTACGGACATTTTGTTCATTCCTCTCCCGTTTCTTTAAGGAGCTTCTTTTCTATTCTTTTTCCAATATATCAGTTTCGCGTTTTATTAAGGAAACCTTGTAACTGTTCTATATTTTCTTACTTACTTCTTTTTTTCTTCTTCTATCTTTTTTATTTACTCTTTTTTCACAGTCGATGTTTGTTATTATTAAAAAAGGTACATTTGTTGATTCAACAAATATCTGTTTAATGTGGACGAATCTTTTACGAATGATCTAAATAAAATTAACTAACTATTTAGAAGTTTTTAAACAAATTTCTCTCTCCAGAAAATTGACTGAAAATTTAATTATGTGAAAAAGGGAAATTTTGAAATAATCCTGAAAGTTAAGATTAATTTTGGGACACCTTCTTTGTTTCCTTATTAAATCAATGTTTAATCCATCTGATGGAAACGAAGAGTCGCGAAGTCCTCTCGTGTATATTATAAATTTAATTAACGCTTCACCAGCTGGGGATTATCACGATTAAACTTTGACTCTTGGAAAGGATCTTAAGAACGAATTAACTCGTCACGCGCACGATCAATACGATTCAATAGAATTGTAGAATGCGAAAGTTTTCGTGTTGTAAAAACTGTTGTAAAGCGTGTTGTAAAGCTGTTATGACATTTTTAGGTGTTAGAACATTACAAAATCAAGTTTAATTCAAAACCTAATCTAACCATCATTCAGAATAAATGATGTCCGATCAATTTATGTATCCACAATCAACGATCAAGTTTTAAAGCAACTTTGATTACTCTTTGAACTGCGAAAACGCTCAGATTCCTGGCAGAAGTCCAAAGAAATTAAAACGTAGATGCGAATCAGTTAATTTACCACAAACTAGACTGAAAACGGGAGCTAGATTTATTCGACACGCGATTCGCGAAAGAAACCGAAGAGTAAGATAATAGCGAATGAAGATAAGTGATGAATTGGATGAAGAGAGTCGTGACGTCAACACGATTCTTTAGTGAAGAAAACGTTCGTACGTCACACGTTCCTTGGATAGCGATGAAATTGTAGGCAGGAGGTTGGCGGCCGAGAAATTAGCTAGATTACAAAGGCGATCGGTCGATGCTGCCTTTATAAATTATTCTTATGATAATACTGCTCTCAGACGGATGAATGTGGCTGGTTTTTAGATGAACATTGTGTGTTGAAAACCTTTACCCTTAAACATGATTAATAATCTATGTGATTAATTTTGATGTGATTGATAATTTTATTTGATGATGGCGGCGGCCATTTTGTTGTACGTTCTATACAAAATTAGGTACTTTTGGGACAAGTTACTTTTGTGGGTATTTATGTAATTAATTTTTATGTGATTAATAATTTCATTCGATGATTGCATGGCGGCCATTTTGTTGCACGTTCTATATGAGGTTAAATACTCATGGGATAAATTAATTTTGTGGGATTAATTATTATATGTTTATTAATTACATATATTCATGTCTATTAGTAGAAGAGTTTACTCATGTGAAATATTTGTGAGATTATTTTTTTTAATTTAATTTTTTAATATTATTTATTTTAGTTAGGTGTCTTGTGGGATCTTTGTGGAATATCACTACAATAGTTTCTATAAACAGTTCATGAGACAACTTCTTGTAAGATACTTGTGGGTCAATGTACAACTATGAAATATTTATGAGATGTTTCAATTTCGTGAGACGTTTAAATACTTCACTATTAATGGTTATCTAGTATTTAGTTCAATAAATTGCTTTAGACAATTAATTCATAAAATGTTTTCGACAATTTAATTCATGAAGTATTTTAGACAATTTAATTCAATAAAATATTTCAAACAATTAATTCAATATAAATATTTTAGACAATTAATTCAATAAAATATTTCAAACAATTAATTCAATAAAAATATTTTAGACAATTAATTCAATAAAATATTTCAAACAATTAATTTCAATAAAATATTTCAAACAATTAATTCAATAAAATATTTCAAACAATTAATTCAATAAAAATATTGTAGACAATTAATTCATAAAAAAGTTACATCGACTGATTCATCTTTAAGTGACATCTAAATAATTTTAATGAATTACCATAAACTTTCAGTACTTTATAAAATACTTGTAGTTTAAGTAATGTATGTATGCGATGTTAAAAGCAATCATGACACGACTTAATTACAAACTTCTCCAAGAGTCCCTTAATTGTCGGTCTATCTCGGGTTTCGTCCACAAATCTCACGGTCGAAACGCTATTCTTGTACAAACGAAATCGATGGGTGTCAATTTACTATGCTAATCAAAGGTCCATTCAGTGTCTGAATGGAGACCGCCCAAAAGCAGCAGTTATGAAGGCTAGTTGCCGGCTTCCATTGAAATCTTTAGATACTTGTTAGTCCTCAATACAAGCTATTTATTATTCGACGAAGACTAATCGCCGATAATGGATGACTTTTCACGCGACAACTTTTCGACGAAAAATATCTCCGATGGTCAAGCATATTTAACCTTTCGGAGGCAAAGTTTAATTCGGTTATGACGTACATTTATTATATTTAATTAAGGATCGAATGCAAATGAAACATTCGACGCAAAAGATATTTGCGGAATTAAATTTTGGTATGAAGAAGGTTGAACTGTTTTCTCAACTCTCTCAGATAGCCCGAGGTCCAAATTCAACTATTAAAAGTCGACAAGCTTTTGCTCTTTCCGAACGATTGCCTTTAGAAATCTTTTGTTTCAAGTCATCGAAACGTGACCGAAGGATAATCCACAAGCGTCGATATTTGCGAAAGCTCCATTTCGGTTGGTTTGTTCAACGAATCAATTTACGTGGTTCGTTTTGTCAATGACGGATCAATTGGCGGATTATCAGGTCTCCCGTGATGACGAAGCAATCGATTGAAGAGGCGGACTATTACAAGCGGATGATTTCAAGTGTCGAACGATTCACATTTATCTGTTTACCTGGTTTCGATCGTCCGATGCATCCAATTCAATTGTCTGGGAAAAGTGAACAATTGCGGGCACTGCATGATATTAGTTGCAGTGAATTCACAAGGTGATAATACTGATCTATGTTAAATACAATTGATTTGATTGAATTGGATCTTCGGTTGAAGATTAAAGTAGATCTATTGTCTGATTAATTGTCTGAATAGGGAATTAGAATCAAAATGTGTTCGAAAATATATTTCAAAAGTAAGGTAGAAGAGAAACAAATTACCACGCGTCGAATTACCACGCGTCAAATTACCACGCGTCAAATTACCACGCGTCGAATTACCACGCGTCGAATTACCACGCGTCGAATTACCACGCGTCGAATTACCACGCGTCGAATTACCACGCGTCGAATTACCACGCGTCGAATTACCACGCGTCGAATTACCACGCGTCGAATTACCACGCGTCGAATTACCACGCGTCGAATTACCACGCGTCGAATTACCACGCGTCGAATTACCACGCGTCGAATTACCACGCGTCGAATTACCACGCGTCGAATTACCACGCGTCGAATTACCACGCGTCGAATTACCACGCGTCGAATTACCACGCGTCGAATTACCACGCGTCGAATTACCACGCGTCGAATTACCACGCGTCGAATTACCACGCGTCGAATTACCACGCGTCGAATTACCACGCGTCGAATTACCACGCGTCGAATTACCACGCGTCGAATTACCACGCGTCGAATTACCACGCGTCGAATTACCACGCGTCGAATTACCACGCGTCGAATTACCACGCGTCGAATTACCACGCGTCGAATTACCACGCGTCGAATTACCACGCGTCGAATTACCACGCGTCGAATTACCACGCGTCGAATTACCACGCGTCGAATTACCACGCGTCGAATTACCACGCGTCGAATTACCACGCGTCGAATTACCACGCGTCGAATTACCACGCATCGAATTACCACGCGTCGAGTTACCACGCGTGGAATTACTACGTATTGAATTACTATGCGTGGAATTACCACGCGTGGAATCACCACGCGTGGAATTACTACATATTGAATTACTATGCATGGAATTACCACGCATCGAATTACAACGCGTCGAATTATACCTGCAAATAGATTAGCAAAGAAGAAACAAATTATACCTGAAAGTAGATTATAAAAATAAATATGCAAAACAGAAACAAATTATAGGAGTTTTTGAGAAGAAACTAGATTTACTTGTACCGTGTTTTATTCGTCGAAAAAACATTACAAAGCTTCTTGTATACAAACATTCTTACAAAATGTGTGAAGTAAAAAAGTTAAATGCATGTTTTATAAAGCATGTTCCTCGTTGTCCTGAGAACAAATATTTAAGTATATCTGTTTCCAAAAAAAATTTTGAACAAAGCTTTGATTTTTAACCTCAACTCCCAGAAAATTATAATTTATATGAAAGTTTCAGTAAAATGTGATTTAAAGAGATCAAATTTATAGAATCTTTTTTACTACTATTTAACTTAACCTTCAAATGAATTGGCTGGCTGTATAATTTTCAAATTTTTGTATACTATTTTTTAAAAATATTTAAGTAACCAATTTCAGTCGATTCTCAGTAAATTGCCACAATTGCCATCCTCCGGTTAAGTTTCTGTAAATATTTATAATCTTCAGAAATCACACATCTCTTCAATCGCAATCACATTGTCCATAAGCTTTCAACCAATTGTCCAATTTCTCCCGGTTCTTCACCAACCATTTGATGTTATTCGATACAGTTTCCAAAGCTTTCGCTCGGTTCATGGCGCCAGCGCCAGCGTCTGGATATTTCGCGAAGAACGCCTTCATTTCTTCCAGACGAGTCTCCGTCGCGAAGGTCTTCGTGATCGATGGAATCAACGAACCGAGGTATCGATCGTTCAAGGTGTACCTGTTCACTAGGAAGTCCCAGTTGGACCGTACCCAGTCCCAGACCAATGGTGTTCCCAGAGGATTCTCAGATATGGCGGTTAAGCAGTTTAAGAAGTCCTGAGAGCGGACGTAGTTCTCGTCTGTGGCTGTTGTGATGAATCTGAAACGAGAGAAGGTGAGGATTTAATAGATGAAGATGTGACTGCTACATTTAAGAATGTTCTAGTTCTAAACTTTATATGTAGACTTGAATTTTTATGTTTTTGAATCACTAAATATAGCAAAACAAAACCACTTAAATAAATATATATCCACAACAAAATTACTTGTTCAAAATCCAAACAGATCGTATGGCAGTCAGTCCCTTCAGCAGCATCAGCTTCTCCGCAGCGTCGCTCTCAGCGACAAACTTCTTGAACACGATGTTCCACGAAGCCTCATCGCCAACGTGATGCATTCCTGAAACAAAGAAACCAATAATTACCTGTTCTTAAAACAATATCAGCGGACTATAAACAATTTACCGTAATAATAAACTAGGCTGCGGATGTCAGGATGCGGACGAACATCCTTGGGATTCTCTGTCCAGTTCTTGAACAATTTTCCAGCGTCCTCCAGGCACTTTCCGTGCTCCACCGAGCAGGCCAGTCCGAGAATCGTCGTTCGAAGTTTCCTGAGTAAGAACATAGATGACGTGATGGAATACGCTGTTTAATTGTTAGAGAATGTTTTTTTATAAGGAAACGTACAAATGAATGCGATCCTCGTTGCTGTCCACGGTCCACCCTACTTCTTCGTAGATGGAGCTCACCAAATTTCTTACGTATTGCTGAATGAAAAAGTTTATTTTTGAGATATAGTTTAAGAAGTTTAGGTCAACAAGTTTAGCTTAGTTTAGCAAGTTTAGCTCAACAAGTTTAGCTTAGTTTAACAAGTTTAGCTCAACAAGTTTAGCTTAGCTGCACAGGTTTAGCTTGCGAAGTTTGATGTACGTTGAAAAGGTGTACTAGAAAAATGTACCTTGAATTTTGCTGAGGAGGGGGTTGACGACAATAGGGTGTCGATAGCAGTCAATTTAGAGGACGCAACGCTCCACGGAATGGGGTGGCTTTCTCTGGAGAGATACCCTGTCATGTTCATCGCTATTTCATATTCGAGCTCTCCAGCGCTTGCTAAGCTGAAGGAGTCTTCCAGAAGATGCGCTCTGTCCGACACCGACAATCTCTGTAAACGAGTATCATTGTAACATTTAAATATTTCAATCATACCTAATTTTATTCAACATTGTAGCGCAAAATTTAGTGGTGAAACTTTAGAAAAATACCATGCTCTGATATCGAGTAAATTTTGCAAATAAGCTCTTTGTTACAAAAGAAGATATTTCTAAATGTTTGCAAAATTTGATCAGAACTGAAACATGATGGTATTTCAAAATTTTTCCAAGTTATGTACTATTACATAATGTATTGTATTTATAAGAGACGTTCATCCTTTTCAACTGATTATGTGTAACTGATAAATATGTGAAAATATGTAACTTGTAAACTAACTTAACCTAAAAGATATGTACTGTTGGTAAGTTAGGTAGCTACTTTACCGTGTGAGCAGATTGTAGAAGTTTGTTGAGAGCGTTCCATTCGCTTGTTTCGTAATTCACTCGATAATAGCCGACTTCATCCGCATTGAACTTGATCCATTCTTGTGGCTCCTTAAACTCGATCAGTACTGCAAATAAATAGCCACTTTTAGTACTTCGTCATGTTTACTAGAGGAAAATTCCTTCAGTAGGAATATTTAGATGAAGCTAAAATGAAATAGCAAGATTTGAAAGATATAGAATGATTACAGTAGCTGGCATCCTTGTTGAACCATAGAAGCGCAGGTTTGGATGTTTTGTTGGAGATGTAAGTGATGGGTATGGTCCACTTGTACCTTTAAAGTCAAATAATTAGTTTTCAATTAACACATAGTTTAACCAGTACTCATTGTTAAAAATATAATGCTACATTTATAAATCTTAACAACTGAATTATCAAATGGTCTTAACAAGTCCATTATGGTTTTAATAAGTTAGTATTAAATCTCACCCGTATTCCGATTCTGAAACATCGAACTGAGCATCGGGATCAGCGAGGAATCGCTTCTGAGTCAGCATATAATTATTGCCCGTTCGCTTCACGTTAACAACCGGAAATCCTTTCTGTCTGGTCCACGTATCCATAATAGCAGTTACGTTCAATTTATCCGGAGAAGAGTCTTGCAATATCTTGAAAAGATCAGCGGTCTCCGCGTTGTGATACTTGAATTTGTTCAAGTAGGCAGTGATGGCACCGTAGAACACGTCGGGTCCTATGAAATTTTCCATCATTCGAATGACCGAGGAACCCTTGAACAAAATGGAGGTGCAATTTAGAGCAAGGGAGAATTATTTCATTTAATTTTGGTGGGTGGAGTTACCTTTTTGTAAGAAATTTCGTCGAAGATCGCTGTTATTTCGTCGGGGTTGCTGACTGTTTGGACGATAGGGTGAGAGCTTAATTTCGCGTCTGTTACGAAGACTGAGTGCATTTGTTCGATGAGGAACATTTCCATCTGTAAATAGTAACACAATTTGTACACTTTTTGACGATTAGGTAGAACAAATATTATTTCGACTTGCAAAATATACTGATCGTAATGAAACTAGAGGTTAATGACTTTGAGATCTGCAAATTTTGCAGATTGCAACTTGAGATCTGACAATTAAATTTATTTGGAAGAAAATTTATATTCAAATATTTAAAAAAATTATTTGTACTCTACTTCTTGAATTTCCAACATTTTAGCAATATCTAAGGTACTCTTTTAAATAGATTATAGCAGCAGTAGAAAAAGAAGCTGCATAGATTTGCAATTTTATTAAAGCTTGACAAATACGGTTAAATAAATAACTAACCAGACCCCAACCAGGGAAAACGCCATCAGCACTTTTGTATTGCATGAAGGACGCAAAACCCTCGTTCAGCCACAAATCGTTCCACCAGGACATAGTGACTGAAAAATGACCACAAAGAATATGAAAATCCCTGCAGAAGTTTAACAAAAACAAGTATTCTTTAAGTATTAAGTATTTGGGATTCAGAGACTTGATTATCGATGCTCACCCAAATTTCCAAACCACATATGAGCAAACTCGTGACTAATTATAGTGAGGATGTCATAGGTCTTTGAAGTGGCACTCGACTTCTCATCGAATAATAATCTTGCTTCTCTGTATGTGACAAGTCCCCAGTTTTCCATGGCACCGGATACGAAGTCTGGAATGGCCGCCATGTCTGAAAAGATCAAAGTTTAGAATAAACATCAATTTATATTTCTGTTACAATACAAGAAGAAGTTCAAACTTATAAATCAAACAAAAAATCAATTAAAAAACGAAAAGTAGAAAAAGACTCACCAAGTTTTGGCAAAGGATAATCGATGCCAAACAGCTTGATATAATATTCGATAATCATCACACCGACATCGAGAGCAAACCAGCCTTTCTGTTGCTGATCTCTGGTCGTATACACGCTAACCGGAAACTGACGGCCATCGAGACCGTTCGCCATTTTGGTAAGCGCCACGAAATCGCTGACTATGAAACAAGCTAAGTACGTGGACATCGGCACGCTTTTAGCAAATGTCACCGTTGTTAATCCTTGGGATGGTTGATTCATTTCTGTACACTGAAAATTGAAATAAATATTGAAGTAAATTGTTAAACGTAAGTTGATGAAAAATCATAAGTTGATATGGTTGAAAGAAATGATGGGGTAACATTGCTGGTGTACCTCGGAATTCATGTTTGATAAGGCATTGTACTCTCCGGTTGGATGTACTAGTTTCACCGTGAATTCCGCTTTGAACGCTGGTTCGTCGAAACATGGAAACGCTCTTCTTGCGTATGTTGGTTCGAACTTTGATGTGGCGATGTATCTGTTGAAAGAGTAGACTGTGGTGAATTTTCAGTTTGTGGATTTGTTGCTGATGTACATTTGAGAATTCTTGTTATTCGGAAATTTGGGAAAATGGATGTTTAGATATTCGGGAATTTAGGAATTTGGAAATGTAGAAATTTGGAAGTTTGGGAATTCGAGAAATAAGAAATTTGGAAATTTAGGAATTCGTCAAATTGGAATTATTAAGGAAAAACACGGATCAATTAGAGCGCGGGGATTGCGCGTGGAATTACCACGCATTGAATTACCACGCGTGGAATTACCACGCGTCGAATTACCACACGTCGATTTACTACGCGTAGAATTACTACGTATTGAATTACTATGCGTGGAATTACCACGCGTCGAATTACCACACGTCGATTTACTACGCGTAGAATTACTACGTATTGAATTACTATGCGTGGAATTACCACGCGTCGAATTACCACACGTCGATTTACTACGCGTAGAATTACTACGTATTGAATTACTATGCGTGGAATTACCACGCGTCGAATTACCACACGTCGATTTACTACGCGTAGAATTACTACGTATTGAATTACTATGCGTGGAATTACCACGCGTCGAATTACCACACGTCGATTTACTACGCGTAGAATTACTACGTATTGAATTACTATGCGTGGAATTACCACGCAAATTACCACGCGTCGAATTACCAACCACGCGTCGAATTACCACGCGTCGAATTACCACGCGTCGAATTACCACGCGTCGAATTACCACGCGTCGAATTACCACGCGTCGAATTACCACGCGTCGAATTACCACGCGTCGAATTACCACGCGTCGAATTACCACGCGTCGAATTACCACGCGTCGATTTACTACGCGTAGAATTACTACGTATTGAATTACTATGCGTGGAATTACCATGCATTGAATTACCACGCGTCGAATTACCACACGTCGAATTACTACTTATTGAATTACTATGCGTGGAATTAGCACGCGCGGAATTACCACGCGTCGAATTACCACGCGTGGAATTACCACGCGTCG